TATAGATTCCAAAAAATATTTAAATAATAATAATTTTATGGAATTGTGAGTTTGTCCAGTTGCTTAATTTTATTACTCATTCGTTACGGATTATTTAGTGTTTGGTGTATTAACATAATCATTGTGACGGCGATCTTCTTCATTATTTTATATTATTCTTGATGAAACTGCGCCATCAGACAATACTGTACATTATTCTGTCTATTTGAACATAATAATAGCTTCGTAATAGCGAATGCATTCCGAATTTTGTCACACATTTTTACTTTTTAAAAACCTAAGTATTTGCAAATCTATGCAGCACGTTCAGCGTAACTACTCGTTTAGTGCCTGCAGCGAACATTTTTCTCGAAGGAGGCCATATCTGTCGTTGCACCATATCCTCAAAAGAGGGGTAGTTAGACCAAAGATCAGAAGGCGCGCTGCCTCCGCGTTGATGGAACCATGGTCCACGTCTTCACGGCATGAAATGAGGCCTCGTCCTCTTTCGTCATTGTCGCGATAATCTTTGTGTCTAACATCCGATTTGAGGGACGTTTCTGTAATAGCGCCTCTCGGCATTGTTCTCGATGCTGTATTGTCCGCATTCATCGCGCATCTTTGACACACTTTCGTGTCAAGACAGAGGGGAGCCAGTGGAAAAACGTGCCACTGGAAAAACTTTTGCTTGATCGACAAATGGACATCTCCGGGTTTTCCTCTCGCTGACAGTTTCTGAGAAATAAGACTACAATAATGGAACTAATTTCAATAACTTTTATTAATACTACAATGTTTAAAGCTTGATGATTAAGTTTCCAATGCTCACATTATCATGTGAATTACATGTTAACAATACAAAGCGACATTTTACGTACATAATACTTTATAAAATATAGTCAATTGTTCATGGCTTATTGCTTTACGTGAAATTCATCAATAAGTTTATGCCCGAGTTTTATGGAATATATTTTGCGAACTAGTGACGGGGTATGCCAAAGGCGAGTAATGTACAAGTAATAATTTCATTAAAAGCGATTGTTACACGTTTCATTGTTGATTTTCGCAGAAAAATGGGGCCGCTGATTCGATTCGCCGTTTGTCAAATATATTAAAATTTTCGTGCGCCTCTACAAAATATAAATTGTGCCCGGCTGGCAAACGTGATTTTCAAATTTATAAACTGTAAAAGCTGAAATACGATCAGAAAAATACGCAGCTAAATGACTGCTTTAAAGGTTGAAAATGTACTATAACGATAATTAATGAGTATTACTTATCAGATTGAAAAATCGACATTCTTCCTGGTTTAAGTTTAGTTTAATTTCGTCATTCCATTCGTTTTATTGTTATATTTAACTATGTATTCTATCATTTTTATTACCAACATCGATAAAAGCGTAAAAATCATTTTGGTCTTAATCAAAGAATATTAATCATAAGAATATTATAAAGTCATATTAGGTAGTAGTATAGTATAAAAATAATATAGATTTAGTACATTTTGTTACATTATTTATCAACGAATAACTTCGAGTGCGTTACAAACAAAATGTTTAATAAATTATTACAAGTTTATGACACATGACATTTGTTTGAGTAGCCGGGAAAATAATAATT